GTTAGGAATTACTTATATGTAGGCACAAACATCCCTGCTTAGAAGCGAGAAAGACAAAAATCACAAGTCCTTTTAAACAGTGTGGAAGCATATAATCTTCAGCATTTTTCTTTTGTTAAGCACACTTGGGCACATCTACAAGCAGAACTGAAGTCTCTGACTGTAACTGCTCATAAAAGGATTTGCTAGAAGCGGGGAAGCACATACTGCTTCTGTGTAATTCGAGAGAGAAAGCGGCGCTCCTGTTTGGTAACGCAACAGCTTCAGAACAAAGAAAAGTAGAACAATAATTTACCTTCAGATTCATACGTGGAGAAAGGTCCAGTGAGTCACTGTAAAAGCGCTAGAGGAGGGAGCACACGTACTTCTCACGGGGAGCACAGAACGGAAGGCACGTTCCCCGTCCCACCAGCAGTGGCAACGCACCACGGGCCGCCAGGGCCGAGACCTTCTCCTTCAGCCAGGGAGTTACTTGCAGGGTAACATTTATGTCAGGATCCGTTAGTGCTTGTGCCAGAACACGAGCCACATGCAACACGAACAGACGCCTACACCAGGCCCAGCAGCTCCCAGGCTGCCAAGGCAGGGGGGATTGCAGGTACAGAGGGGTGTTTGGGAAGTCACTCGATAGCACTTTATGAGGTATTTAAGCAGTAGGTCAAGGCCCCGGTTTGAAACACTGCTAGACTAAAAGTTTAGCAAGTACCTTCAGGCCTTCCTTCATACTTGTCAGATTCTTGAGTTGTAAGACCAGCACTCAAAACGCGCTATGTCATGGACAGACAAACTGAACAGCAAAGAAAGCAAAAGGTTTATGCTAAACCCTCGGGTTTCCTCTACGCTTGCAGCTTATCCCCTCTAACCAGCAAGGGGCAAGCTGCTGCTGCTAGTCCCTACCAGCACTCCGTTTTAATTCCTCCACTAGCAGCGAAACACTCCTGGAGCTCTCACGTGACCGTTATTCTTAGAGAGGATCCCAGGGATTTTTGTTCAGCGAAGTTCAGTCATGCAGTTGGCCCAAGGCCATAAGAGCATCACAGAACCCCTCAGTTCTGAAACGGGAGCAGCATTAGCGGAGTATAGACGCATTAATAGCATTAGAAGGCACAGGTTATGCAAGGAAGATTTAGGTATAGGTAAGTGAAGATAAATAACTCCCCCCAGAAAGATATTACTGCCATACCAAGCTCGTGATGCTCGGCGCGGGGGGGGGAAGCAGTATATATGACAGCCTATGGGTCTGAGCTCAGTTTAACTGTTTAAGCCATTCAAAAAGCTGAACCTAACTCATCCTGAGCTAGCCAAAAGAATTTTACTGTTTGAGCTTTTCCATTATGTTGAACTGTTTTAATGAGCAGACCGAGTAGAATCTCATTTATGAAACAGCTTTCTAAAAGAATCCCAAATTTATGTGCGAGAGAAAAACACGAGGGACAGTGAAGGCACCGCTCCAGTTGTTTAGTTATTCTTCTTAGGACTTTTTTCATATGCCTCAAGCAGCTGAATGCAGGCCTAGTGCGAGCAGAAGGATGCCTCTGTGGTTATCTGGTTAAAGGTGCAGGTAAAGCGGAGAAAAATACCGAAACGTGCTGTTGGCCAATATTTCCATCAGGCTGGAGTATGGGAAAACGCTAAAAGGAGCTACTACAAGAAGCTTTACGTTACTTCGCTGTCTCAAGAAACATATCACATGAGAGAGTAAGTGTTTCTTTTTGCTCATACCCCCTCATTTTTGAGATCGGATGAGGCAAACACTAATTGATGGAATTAATTTAATGCAAAAGACTAGTTTCCACTCTCCAAAGTGTATGCAGGAAGCCAGGAGAGGAGGAAGGGAGTAGCTATTGCACTTCAACCACTATTGTATTTACATTTCCGTACTCTTGATAACGAATACATTCAGCTATGGCTGAGAAATACAGCATCAGGTAGAAAGCAAAGGCTGAGCTTCCTTGCAAGCAAGGGCAGTAAAAGGGGTCTGAGGCCTCCCTGCAGCGTGAGCAGGTAAGGGCTGCTAACTTCTTTAGAGAGACGATTCCCTTCCTTGCGGGAGTTACGGCCGCAGCAGCCAGCATCACAGCACCGCGCGCTTTGACGCGGGCAGCTTCCCCTCAGACACAGAAAGAAAAGGGACCAAACACAACCATTCAATGTGGTACTGAGTTTTAAAAAAAAATTTTTTTTTTTTTTAATTAAAATGAAGGGTTCTGCCCACATCTCTTCAGGGAAGTAAAGCCACATGCGGTGAGTGACATAACAGCGCTGCCTCCTCCCAGACTTGTTCTCTTCCTTCAAGGGCTAAACCTTTTCAAGGCTCTTCTCAGCATTCCCAGCCCAGAAGGTCGAGGCGTACTTCTTCAAAGCGCTTCTGAAATGGTGGCTGGGTAATGCCCCAGCCCCTCTTCCCAACAGCAAAATCCTCCTGGAGGAGGGGCAGTCGTGCTTGCTTTGCTACGCGCGGAGGCAGAGGCGGCTTGTCCCCGGCGCCTTGGCTCATCTCAGCAGTTCTCCGCAGGCAGCGCTCTGCTGCTGGAGGGGACCAGCGAGCCGGAGAGCGAGTAGCTGCTACTTACTCCTACTACACTTCGTCAGCACCAACCCCAGTCTAGCTCACTTTTCAACAAGAAAACCGGTCTTAGAAAATATACACAAAAATACATCTCTTCCAGCTACGGCAGTTAAAGAAAGTACAAGCTAATCGGGGGGGAGGGGGCCCAGACTTTCAAAAGTACTTTCTCCCCCGTCTAAATACATGTTACAATACAACAACCAAGTGAAATTCTAGGTGCCATGAAAGTCATAGCCGGTATTCACAGTTCAAGAAAGCAAGTATGACCAAGATGCACTCTATCTGGTTGGAAGAGCTGGTAACAGAATAAGCAGGAAGAACCATTTACTTCTGAGTGACAATTTGAGATTAACAGGTTTTTCGTTTTGTTTTGCAAGGAACCCAAGATACTCCTCGATCATGTCATAAAGCAAGAACCAACCCAAAGCCCGTGTCAGACTTGCACAAACACTTCCTCTTTCCTGCCTGCCCTCCCTGGCTCCTCCAGAGGATGTTGGGGAGGAAACTGCCTTTATTCATCGAGGCAGTCAATGAGCGTGGATTAAATGTTCCCGGATAAGTTACTTCAGGAAGCATTTTTAGCTGCTCAATATAGTCTGTGGGAAACACCTGTTTGGTTTCCACGTCCTGAAACCACGGGAACACAAATGTTAAGAGGTACCCTACAAGGAAGCTGACTCCTAGGATCTTACTAATACATTGGTAACCATCTCATTTTTGTACGATAAAAAAATAAAAAAGGAGGAAAATTATAACAAACGTCGCCCCTTAAACAACTTGGGAGTTAACAACATGACCAAGTCAATTGATCTATTCCAGACAACTAAGGAGTCTGGTAGACTTAAGACTGCCCTGGCTAAAGTTAAGTGGTAAGAAAGAAAATATATTCAAGATAGGAATGCGCAGGGAGGACAGTGTAGTGCTCTTACATGCCTATGTCATCTCCATAGCTCAGCTGCTTGTACCAATAGCTCCTTACTGGAGGAGGCGATACTCCACCTCCCATGACCTCTGGGGCTCTATTGAGGCCACCAGGAAAAGCACGCACAGAATTCAGGGCCACCTCCCCTCCCACCTCCTTCATCCATCCCACCCAAAGCGAGATAAGCAATTGTATTTGGCTTTTTTTCAAATGGCTTTTATAGCGGAGAACAATTTAAGATGGTTTGGCAGGCAGCCACAATAGAAGGCAAAAACAACCAGTGATGTTGCTGCATTTAACTGAATCTGGTTTCAGTCATATCGTGAATGGATATGCAAGAGCACTAGTCTGACTGAAGAGAGAGAACTTTGCATCTACGATTTGTTATCTCTACACCCACCATTTAAAGAGACAAAAAAAATAAGAACAATCTTATTCCATATCCATAAAAAAGAAATTAGGAAACACGTGAGGCTACTGTAATTTGAAGACAGTTTTAGTAAAACATAGTAGATACAGCTGTCTGTTAAAATAAGTTGCAATTGAACTGTATCCACTTTCACTCCTCTGTATTCCTTACAGTCAGACACCACTGGATTGTCCTGGCAGACTGACATTAACAGTAACTAATTTAGGGGCAACTCTGAGGCCCCTATTTAACTGTTTTATATTCTAAACTATCACAATGTGAAGACAAAATGCAGTATGAGTTAGTGTAGGAAACAAGCTGATGCTACTTGAAGAAATAAGTAGCGTTTGAGAACAATCACTGTCACATTGATCAAACTGCAAACAGTGGAGTACAGCAGTGTCCCTCAGTCCATATGAGGGCCAACAAGCAACTGCCATTCCTTCACCAACACACCTCAAACCCCCTGCCTGTAGATCTGAGGATATCATCCAGGGAAAGGATTTAGCCTTATCGTGCCTTCCACACAGCAAAACCAGGACTTGAAACGTACATAACAAGAAACCTGGATACTCCACTGCCCCTAACTCCTAAAAATCCTGTCAGATTGTTTCTTCTTAGCCTAGTTTCTCCATTTTCATCTTTTGTAGTCCTCTCACTCTGACAAAGTTTGAGTGACAAAGTTAAACAAGGCGTCTGCCTTTTACAGTGGAAAAAGCAAGAAAGGAGTTCCAACTAGCTGAAAAGACACCTTTGAGCCACATGCAGGCTCTGTCGAGGAGTGTAAGACACTTAACAGATACCCAAAAAGAAGGATGCAAAAAGAGCAGGAACGTTAAATGCATTTCAGACATGTCTGTTCCACAGAAGTTCAGTCAAAGACCTCTGCATAATGCCTTTTAAAGGCATGAGATTCCCCCAGAACCCATTCAACACTCCACTTATCACAGCTGGGCCTGGCCTGCTCCACCAAGCTTTGCTACTCCCAGCTTGCTATACTGGCCAGAAGAGACGAAGTTGTACAGCATGTACACACAGCTGTATCAAACCTTTGCTTCTATCAAAGATTTAGTGCTGTATCATTAACAAGCAGTTCATACCTCAAAAGCAGGTGTTCCCTTTAGCAGATCCTTCAGTCTTCACAAACTGCTTATCTGCAAAATACAATGCATGCACAGTTAGGAGGAAGCCATACAGTTAGATACTTGGAGGTCAGATTACTAGGGATAGCTAGGAAAAAAAATCTGTGTTACTCAAAATTAACTAAATCATCAGAAGTGTTGCTATAGCCCCACTACAGTGGTCCAGGATGCTTTTATTGATGTTCTCCAGCTGTAACTATTTCACATCAAGACTTGCTCAAGCTGTTAAGGATATACTGTGAAAATTGTGGGCAACTTTTCCCTTATTACGCATCTTAATAGCTTTTTACAAGCATGCCATTAAAGCTGAAGTAATCCAGAATGATTTGGACATACCTCCACCAAGCAGTATTTCAGGTGCTCATATAATGGCTTCAAAGCTCTCAAAGTCACAGTTACACATACACTTGCATAGCCATCTGTGACAACCAGGCTTGATTCATCAGTTGATGATATCTGCCTGGAGTTAAATAAAGCTAAAGAGGCACCAAAACATCTGTGGCCTGATTTATCGGTGTTATTACTAGGCAGAGCCACTGCACAAAGCATTGTAAAGCTTTCACAGGATAGGACTGTCACATTTTAGTCTTTGAGACAGGCGAGTAAGCAAAAATGAAGCTATTTTCATTCAAAAAACAGTTATATCATTCTGTGCCATTTTCTATACTTCCAAACTTTAAGGATGGAATCTGTTGCAACATTATTAATGAATATCTGTAGGTTTAGACTTGTGAATGTACTATTAGATATGTTACCCAACTAGAAAAGTATAGGCTAGAGTCTTTAAGAGACTCCCTTAATGATATTTGGATTAATATTTGAATATTTTCATCTGGTTCCACTTCAGGTATCGTATTCTTCAGGCACACACAGAAGACTATTTTCAGTATATATTTTCCATGGTTTCAACGAAGCTGTATCCCTGCCTAGCTTTACCATGGGACCATTTCACAGAATCACAGAATGGTCGAGGTTGGAAGGGACTTCTGGAGATCATCCAGTCCAACCCCCCTGCTCAAGCAGGGTCCTCTAGAGCACGTTGCCCAGGACCGCGTCCAGGCGGGTTTTGAAGATCTCCAGCGAAGGAGACTCCACCGCCTCTCTGGGCAACCTGGGCCAGGGCTCGGTCACCCTCACAGTCAAGAAGTTTTTCCTCAGGTTTAGGTGGAACTTCCTGTGGTTCAGTTTGTGCCCGTTGCCTCTCGTCCTGTCATTGGGCACCACGGAGAAGAGAGTGGCCTCAGCCTCTTGACACCCCCCCCTTCAGATACTTGTATACGTCAATGAGATCGCCTCTCACTCTTCTCTTCTCCAGACTTTCCTCATCTACTGTGTTGTGTCCCAAACTTTTCCAGCCAGTATCTTATACTTTGTTCATGCTTGCTTTACAGTGAAGAAATAGTAAAATCTACACTAAAAAAAAACCCACACTATCCAAACAATACTCTATATATGCCCCACGCAGTGCTCTGAAAAAGTATACAGACCAAGCCCCACAGAAGAGTCAGTTAAGTATTCCAGTTCGCATGGAGAAACACATAACTTGTTTTTGACTACAGTAAGTAATTAAGTCAATCTCAAAACAAAATACCATCCCACTATCTGCTCATTAATGCAAAGCTCATATAGCAACACTAATGCTCATTGCTGTCCCAACAAACGTACACGTCACTGACATGGAAGTAAAATGCCAGAGCTTTGAGTTAAATGAAAAACAGTCTAGTGAAAAAGAGCATCTTTTCAGCTTTAAGAAATGGTAACGCATTCAGGAACGAGAAGGACTTTTTGAAAGACTCCTATTCCCTTCAGAAGGGCTGCAAAGAAGAGCTACTAAGTTGCTTGAGGAATGGAGAGGTGATCTTGCATGCGATTCAGATAACTCGTGACCAAGCGTTATATGGAAGGGCTCCCACTCGTGCAGTGGCATTAGTTTCCTCCTGTTGGAAGGGGAGCACATCACAAAATCACATTTTTCTTTTTCATGTCATTATTTACAGTTCAGCCACCTTGTGATGTGATAAAACTAGTATTTTAGGGTCCTTACAAACACACTTTTTTTTGTGGTAGAGTATTAATGAAAAATAAAAAGTATTGGCTCCCTTTTCAGGGCTGGACATTGCAGTGCTATGCAATCCGAGACGAGGTAGCATCAAACGCTGTTCTGACTTCACTGATGTTTAACCCCCCCCCCACACACACACACACACACACTCAGCCTTGTTTTTTGCCAAAAACAGTTCTTCCTTTTGTAAATTTGCACCTTTAGCTGTTCTTTCAATAAACCCTGAAGGAAAGCATCCACATACTACTGAGGTCTCATCAATTATTTAACAGTAGTAAAGACTGGGTTTTTTTCCCCTCCTCCTTAAATATTGCGTGTTCTTGATCAGCAAACAAAAATTCTAAATAAACTATTTTTCTTACCCTCAAATTGACAGATTTCTTAAAATTGCAGCAGTGGCTACTTTTTTTTTTTATTTTTTTGTCCTAGGCCTTACACTAGGCAAAGATGGACATTAGCTACTCCAATCACTTGCTTTCAGTTTATTAAACTGTTGGTGAATGGAAAAAAAAATCTTTATTACTCAATGTAAAAGTCTATCCCCTGGCCAGCAAATATTGATTTATATGCGTTCCATTAGCTGTAATTGTTTTCCAGTTTAAAGAAATATTACTACGAACTATTAAGATATCTCCCTTAGAAACATCTATCTGTATACTATCTACTCCCAAGTTTGCAAACTTATTTCTCCCCAACACAATTTTTATGCAAGTAACATTGAAAAGCGATGCAACACAGGAAAAACACCCTATTGTTTCAGGGACATCCCACACCGCACCCACTCATTTTTATCTTGCCTACACGATCAGCAAACAGGTAACGCTTGGTGCACGTACTGTTCCATCCCCACAACATCCAGTCTCGCATCCTGCGCCCGTGGTTCTTGTTCCTCAGCTCTTCTGGTTCCCAAGCTCCTTGCGCTTCTATAACTAAGCATTTCATGGCTTCGCAAGCTTCATCCAGTTTTCCAGACAGATATTTCTTTCAACAACTGAATTGCCTGCATTGTGTTAATAAACACGACACTGCTTTCTGCTCACTGCCCAGTCCCCCACCTTCTGTCCTTTTCTCCCCTGAGAGTTCACTAAATCCATCCCATCTACAATTCAACAGCTATTCTTAGAGTCCCAGTTTTATATACTTACTCCAGGGTAAACATTAACAATTAATTTCTCGATTTTGGTATTCTGAAGGTTCTTAGTACTCTAAGGAGCAGCTATTTGTCGGCTTCCAATGGCAGTCCTTTCGGAGGGGGAGCAAGCTACCACCTCTTTGGTCCAGAAGAAAAGCACGTGTCTTCCCTTGGTAAAGCACCAATTACAAGGGACAGAAGCAAGCAAGGGACTACACTACATCCACCTCACAGAGCTGTCATGACCAGACAGTTTCCAGCTCCCATAATTTTGCACTTCATGTACAAACAGCACTTGTCCCAATCTGGGTTTATGCTGCTGTGCTGCCAAAGACAGATATTAGAACGAACCTCCGGTTACGTTCAGGAATACCATCCTTACCCCAGCTAAATGGAATGGACCTCAGCTCAGTTAAGTTTATAATAGGAAAAACGCAAGATTCTTCGTATCAGATGCCCTTATAGGCTCCCTAGATTTCTCTAAACAAACACCACTTTGTTTTCTAGGCCCACAAGTCAGAAGAGTCTGTTTTCCCATGTCCTGGGAGAGAAAGCCACTCTTCTTTAAACTTTTGATGTCTCTCACCCTTCATGCTTTATTTACACGTCTCTAGAGAAACGGCTTCCTTCAATACTTCCCTAGCTGAAATAGGCATGGTGCATGAAGATCACTTCAAATGAAAAGCTAAGGAGGACGGCACACGTTACAGCCACAGTACCGCACATGCAAAGCGGCCGTACACTGTCCAGTAGCAAGGGTTCAGATGCAAGGTCTTGTAAACCCTGAGCTACGTGCAGGCGGTGGCCGTGAAACCTAGGGACGCAGACATCTCAGATTTTCATCCCAAGTATTTCCCCTCTGGGAAAGGCTAGCAGCAAGTTAACTACAACAAATTGACATAAGAGAAACCACCCCTCAAAGCAACAGTTCTCTATCATGGCTCCTTGCCAGTACTTGAACTCACCAAGCTCCTAAAACAAGTGTTTATTCTAGAGTATATGGTGGACTTGTTCTTTTCATGCCTACCACTGCCAAGCATTCAAAGGATTCTTGTTCAGAGACAAATTCCTCTTCCTACGCCTGCATGAGGCACCTCAGATAAAGCTGACAGCATTGGAGAGACACTGCTTTTAGATTCAATCCCGTACTTTTGTTGGGTAGAGCTTCCCCAAAGAGGGAAAGAAAGCCCGGAGTTCAGACTCCAATAATAAGTCTTCAAAAGACAAGATGGAGTTCCACTAAATTCTAAAACTCAACAATCTTCTAGGGAAAAGTCAGGGACGTTCACTATAATCACACAACATTTACTACTTAAAGAAAGAGATCATACTTCCCAATTAATTACAGGTAGCACATGGAAAAAAATAAAGGTCTTCAACTGTAAAAGAGCAGGTATTCTTTGGCAATATCCACATTTAATTGTTATGAGAGAAGACAGCCTGTGACAAGCAGTCTTCTAGAGCAATTTGGTCAACAAGGTTTAAAAAATAGCGATGTCCACACAGTCAGATGGTAAGTGAGCAGCTGCACAAGCACAGATGTTTTTATAGCACCATGGAGTTTCTTACTTGACTACAGCAACAATGTTCAGTGGTTCCAGAAAACTGGAAGTGCGACACATGGACTTCTAAATCATCAGGGTCAAGGACTAACCAAGGACCTTCCAGAAGGATCCTGAAAGGCCAGGCAATATAACGAATGCTCATTACAAAGGTAAGCCCTTCAGCAGCCAGTGCCCCTTGGTTAATTAGCAAATAGCCACAGGAGCTGGAGGGCAGCGGGGGGAGCAAAGGGAGCAAACCACGTTACAGGACAGAGTGC